AAAAATAAACTCCTGAAAGGAGAAATGGAGGAGAAGGGATTACAGTGTGACCATCCTTCATAGTGGGGATGCTTTCTCACTTAATATCTCTCTCTCTCTCTCTCTCTCTCTCTGGCGAGTGTATGCACTCTCTGGCAAAATTTTTAAAAAACAACAAAAAAACAAACAAACAAAAACCACACCATAATACTGAGGTATGGCCAATAGATTCATAAAGTTAAAATTCACTTTGTTGAATAGTTATTATTTTTTTTTATTTCTGATATTATTATTTTAAATCTTCTGTTTAATTCTTGGTCTTCTTTCTTTCCAGTTCTGCCCACTTTGCCGTTTAATACCCAATGAGACTCCCAGCAACTTCAATGGCAGTTTAATAAGGCATCTGCAAGTTAGTCACACTTTGTTTTATGACGACTTCATAGTAAGTATATTTTCTTTTACATTATATTTTATGCTGCCTCCATTAAGCTTACCTTTTTAATTCAAGTGAATAAAAATATGAGTAAAAATCTGAAGGAAAAATATTAATATAACTAACGTGGTAAGTAGTAGCATTAAGCAAGAAATTATGGAGGGGCTGGCAGGTGGCGTGGTGGATAAGGGTGCAGGACTCCCACATAGCTGACCACGGTTTGAGTCCTGGACTTCACGGCTTGCTTTCTCACTTTCCCTCTCTCTCACTCTCTTTTACACACTGTCCCTCCCTGGTCAAATTAAAATAAACAAATAGGTAAATAAATAAAGTTAAATAAAAGAATTCTTTTTAAAATAATTATTTTATTTAACTTTACTTTGATTAGATTAGGGTTGGGGGTGAGAGAGAGAAAGCAAACTGCCAAGTCCGGGACTTGAACCATGGTCAGCCATGTGGGACGCCAGCACCCTTAACCACCATATCACCTGTTGTCCCCATAAAATACTTTAAAATAAAAAGAATTCATGGAAATTGAATGTTTTATAAATTTGACTATCAAGATTAGTTACCTGATTCAGACAAATTTATTTTCTTTGGGATCTAGATAATGAGCCATTGTATAAAAAGCCAATTTAGTCTTTAAATTATTTACATTTTTATGCTAATCCCTCCCTACATAGAGTTACAATTTTGAAGTCCCGAACTCCTGACTGAGATGAAATCACATCAGCAATAAAGTGGCTCAGACTTTGTTCTGCATCCAGTTGTTTTTATAGCACATTGAATGGCTGATAACAGAGAAGACATCACTGTAGTAAGACAGAGAGGACTTCAATTTCATTTAAATCGTACAAAACATAAAAACTCGTGTTTACTGATGTCTTAAACTTAAAAACATGAAGATGAACTGGCCCTGTGACCCGGTGGCTAAGGCAGCCAGACATTACATGACCGACCGTGGGGTTTAAGTTCTATACAGATCCTGCACCTTGAGAAACTGTCGGATGCACCCTCTGGCAAAATTTTCGAAAAACAAACAAAAACCTCACCATAATACTGAGGTATGGCCAATGGATTCATAAAGTTACACATACCGGGCATGGGTGTATACACGCCCAAAATCGCAAAAGGAGAGAGTGAGAGAGAGATGAAGGAGAGGGCATTGCAGCCTGACCTTCCCCACGGGGATTCTTTCTCCTCTCCCTCTTTGTCTCTCTACTCTCTCTGGCAAGTGTAGGTGCCCTAAAGCACACATTCCACCCCTCCAAAAAAGAAAGAGAAAATGTATAAAGAAAAAAAGTAAACGTATACAAAGGTAGGTAGAATATAGGTCATGTATTACATTTTATAGACAGAATCCCTACATCTCCATTAGCTAACCCATTTAATAGCCAACACTCATGGCCAATTTCCATCATATTTTTGTAAAATTATTTATTTTATTTTTATCATTGTTATTTTTTAGATTTATTTTATTTTATTTGTTATTATTATTTATTTTTAAATTTTACCAGAGAAAGACAGAGAGAGAGAGAAAAAGAACAAGTGAGAAAGCAAGTCACCAAGTCCAGGATTCAAACTGCAGTCAGCCATATGGGAGTCCAGCACCCCAACTACCAGACCACCTGGTGGCCCCATCATTGTTATATTTTACAGTTTTGCTTTAGGGCGTGTGTGCTCAGCAGAGAGAGAAAGAGGAAAAGTGAGAAAGCAAGCTACCAGGTCGGGGACTCAAACTGTGGTTGGCCATGTGGGAGTTCAGTGCCTTAACTACCACACCACCACCTGCTGGATCTCAATCTCATCATATTAAAAGTTTTTTGGGTAGCCATCAGGTGGGGTAGAGGTTAAGGCACTGGCTCCCGTATGGCCAACTGTGCGATTTGAGTTCCAGACTTGGTAGCTTGAAAATCACGCACGTGTGTGTGTGTGTGTGTGTGTGTGTGTGTGTGTGCACACCCAAAGTCCCAAAAGGAAAATAGAGGAGGGATCGTGGCATCTGGGGGGTGATTCCTCACTCTCTTTCTCTTTCTCTGGAGAATGCACATGCCCTGTACCAAAAACTATTAAATAAATAAATAAAGTTTTTTGTTCTTGTTTTTTAATTGCCAGAGGGCATGTGTGCTAGCCAGGGAGAGCTGAAGAGACAGAGAGAGAGAAAGAGGGAGAGGAAGATGCACCTCCCAATGGGGCCTGGTCACACCAACATCCCTTGTCACATCAACATCCATCTCTCCCTTCTGTTGGGTCTTTGGAAATACACACACATGTGCCCAGTGTGTTAAGCCACTGGGGACCGGGATTTGAACCATAGGCAGCCATGTGGGATCCAGCTCCCTAAACCATTAAGCCACAGGACCAGCCTTGTATTAAGAGTTTTTTCAGATGGAAGAAAAGGGACCAGCAGATGGCATAATGATTATGTCACTGGATTCCCATGTAGTTGACCATCATTCAAGTCCCAGACCTGAAGGCTTGAAACTCACGCCAGGTGTGTGTGCAAGCATGCCCAAGATTCCTAGAGAAGTATGAAGAGAAGGGATTGCAGCATGGCCATCCCCCTCCCAGGGCGAGGGAGGGGGGACTTCTTACTTTCTGTCTCTCTCTCTTTGTGTCTCTCCAGTGAATGCACACGCGCTATAGCAAAAATCTCTCAAAGAAAAAAAAAGGTGGAAGAAAAATTCTGTACATTGTATGAATAGTTTTCATATTATGAATAGGTTTTCCATTTTCAGAAATAAGAATTACAAACAAAATGCTAGCATAGCCTTTGCTCTACTTTGGTCAGAATGTTTCCATGTGGGCATAATGCACTGCTCCCCAAGTACCTTTTAGCAAAAGGAACTATGATGGGGAGAGAAATCACCCAAAACCACATTCTGAAATAATATGTTGTTATTTATATCTAAATACATGAAATGTAAAGGGCTAAATTTGAGTTTGCATATGGTTTCCACATGATTTTGACTGTTTTCTTTTTATACTATTTCAAGATAAAATTTAATAATTGTTGAAGATCATCATCTAATGTTTTCCATATGCCTTCTGACCTGCCTGTCATGATGATCTAGACTGGACACAAGTGGTTTGGGTTTACGTAATAACTGTCATGGCTGTGCAACCTTGGGAAGGTAGTTAGTCTCTGAGCTTCAGCTTATTCATTTAAGTGGGGAGAGTAAAAGCATCTATTCTCAAAAGCTCTTTTGGGGCTGGCAAGTGGTGTGGTGGTAAAGCGGTGAACTCCCACATGGCCGACTATGGTTCAAATCCTGGATCTGGTGGCTTGCTTTCTCTGTCTCTCTCTCTGTCTCTCTCTGGTCAAATTAAAAATAATTAATTAAAAAAAAAAAAACTTTTGTGACTATTAAACAAGATAACACAGGGGCCCATAGGTGGCGTGGTGGTTGAAGGCTCTGGACTCCTGCATGGCTGACTGCAATTCAAGTCCCAGACCTGGCGGCTTGCTTTCTCACTCTCTGTCTCTTTGACTCTCTATGTCACTCTCTGGCCAAATGTTAAAAATAATAATAAACAAAGTTAAGTAAAATGATTCTCTTTTAAAAATAGAAGAGAGAATACATTCAAAGGGATTTGCACAGCTCAGGCACAGATGTTAGGAAAGTTGGAGATGAGGAGAGAGTAATAAGTGGCATTAACAGGACCAGTTGAACCGAACGAGGTAGTCAGCAGAGCCGTCCAGTCTCCATTCCATCTCCCTAATCATGTGGGGGTTTTTTTGTTTACTTTTTTTTGTGTTTTTTTCTGGTTCATAAAGTTCACAAGGCCTCAGCAGAGACTGGTTCTGGTCCAAGTTTTCTCACTGATAACAATGAAGGTTCCTCTTTATCTTAGCTCCACAAGATATTTTAAAAGCCAGGTTGATTCCATGTCCTTTGTGACTACTCATATTCAGTCTGTTCTTCTTAAGATCTTTCCAATTATGATCCAGAGCTGGTCAGGATGAATCCACTTTTTAATATTTTGTCAGGGGGCACAGGCACTAGCCAGAGAGAGAGACTCACAGTGAGCGAAAGAGGAAAGGGAGAAAGCACCCCCATGGGGCATAGCCACGTTGCAACCCCTTCTTTATTTCCCCACCCTGTCCGAATTTTGGGCACACATGTACGTGTGTCCTGTGTGTTTCTTAAGCCACCAGTTCTGGGACTTGAACCATGGCATCAGCCATGTGGGATCTGGCTGCCTTAATCACCAGATCACTGAGCTGACTCAGAAGGGCTTATGATAAGAATACTTTTTAGTCACTCAAAACCATACTCTTGGGTATGAAAGTGAGTTTGAAGTAATGTTCTATGTTCTGATTTTTTGTTTCCTAAACTGCAGTGCACTAAAACAAGCACTTTATTCATATTTTCTTATATTATTTCTTGCAGCAACTTGCGCAAGGTGAAGGCTGTATTCTTATCTTCATTTAATTGTGAAATACTTGAAGCTCAAAGCTTAACTAAATTGCCTAAGAACAAGCTGAACCTTGTACTCTACTGTGCTTCATGGCTCTTTTTGGATTTGATTTGGTTTTGTTTTAGAACAGGCTTTGTTTTAGAATTTGGTGTCATTTTTGTTTTAAAATAAGCTTTGAAGGGAGTTTACTTTTAGTTGTATTTGGAGAGATTGCAGAGGATGGGACTTTTTTTATATATACATACATATATATATATTTTTTTTTTTTGAGAGGTTTTTACTATAGGGCGTGTGTGCTCGCCAGAAAGACAGAGAGAGACAGAGAAACAGAAAGCGAGAAATCACCCCCCAGGGCAGATGGTCACGCCGCAATCCCTTCTCCTCCATTCTCTTCTCAGGATCTTTGGCACACACACCTATGCACCCAGCATGAATTTAAGCCAACAGGTTCGGGACTCAAACCACGGTCGACTACATGGGAGTTCAGCGACATAGCCATTATGCTAACTGCTGGTCCAAAATGGGACTTTTAATAGTTTTACTTAGGGGGTGCCAGGTGGCGTGATGGTTAAGGGCATTGGACTTCCACATATTCAACCGCAGTTTGAGTCCCAGACCTGGCAACTTGCTTTCTCTCTCTCACTCACTCTGTCCATCTCTGGTCAAATAAAAAAAATAAGTAAATAAATAATGAAATAAAGTTAAATAAAATTAATTTTTTGAGAGGTTTTTTTTTTTTTTTTGGCTATAGAGCACGTGCGCTTGCCAGAAAGAGAGAGACAGAAAGACAGAGACAGAAAGCTAGAAATCAGCCCCCGGGGGGATGGACACGCAGCAATTCCTTCTCCATTCTCTTCTCAGGGTCTTGGGCACACACACATACGCGCCCGGCGTGAGTTTAAGCTACCAGGTCCGGGACTTTAACCGCAGTCAACTGCATGGGAGTCCAGTGGCATAGCCATTATGCTAACTACTGGTCCCTCCAACTTTTTTTTATGGAAAGATTTTTATTATAAGGTGCACACGCTCACTGGAGAGACAGAGACAGAGAGATAGAAAGTGAGAAATCACCCCTAAGAGGGGATAACCAGGCCACAATCCCTTCTCTTCCATTCTCCTCTCGGGATTTTGGGTGCACACACACACACACACACACACACACACACACACACATGTGC